ATATATATATATATATATGTATATATATGTATATATATATATATATATATATATATATATATATATATATATATATATATATATATATATATACAATATACATATAGACATATATTTACATATATTTTTATATCTATATCTATCTATATAAATGTATGTATACATATATATATATATATATATATATATATATATATATATATATATATATATATATATATATATATGTATATATACATATATATACACATAATATTGTATATATGTGTGTATGTGTATATATGTGTGTATATATATATATATATATATATATATATATATATATATATATATATATATATATATACATATATATATATATATATATATATATATATATATATATATATATATATATATATACATATATACACATATACATATATAGATACATATATTTATATATATATATATATATATATATATATATATATATATATATATATATATATATATATATATATATATACATATACATATATACACATATACATATATAGATACACATATACATACATACATATATATATATATATATATATATATATATATATATATATATATATATATATATATATATATATATATATATATATATGTACACATATATATGTGTGTATATATATATACATATATATATATATATATATATATATATATATATATATATATATATATATATATATATATATATGTGTATATATATGTATATGTATATGTATATGTGTATATTTATATGTATATGTGTATATATGTATATATACATATATATATATATATATATATATATATATATATATATATATATATATATATATATATATATATATATATATATATATATGTATATATATATATATATATATATATATATATATATATATATATATATACATTTTAACACATATACACATACACACATATATGCAATAATATGTAAATAGATAAACAGATAGATATATAGATATAATATTCGTATTTATGTGTGTGCATGTAAATGCTTGTATATTCCTCGTGTTTCTCTCTATGCTTGACCAGACCGGCAGGCGGAACAGAACTGGTTCCAGTACGACGACAAGATTGAGTACGGCTTTAAGGACTTCGTAACCGCGCTGCGGCTGCGCCAGTGGGTCCACTACTGCCATTTGTTCTACTCGGGGCAGTACAAGGCTTTTGTGGACGGCGCTGAAGTCGTGTCGGGTCCACTCGCCAACGCCGGCGCCCCAGTGCCCCTCAACGGCACGCTTGTCCTCGGCCAGGAGCAGGATATGATGGGCGGCGGCTTCGACAGGCAGCAGGTGTTGCGAGGAAGAATCACGCAGGTCAACATATGGAACCGGACCCTCAGTGTGGACGAGATCAGAAGGCTGGCCTCCTGCACCGCCTACGAGCAAGGCGACGTGTTCTCGTCGGACCGCGAGGACGTAGAGCTCTTCAGTGTCACGGTGGAGACAGAGCCCCTCAGCAGCTTCTGCCGCCCTTACAGTGAATACGTGATCCTCCCAGAAAGCCGTGACCTGAAGGGCTCATTGCAAGCTTGCCAGATGATCGGTAACAAAGTGTTCGCGCCCGAGACACAGCAACAGAACCGGCAGCTGTACTTAGAGTCGCTGCAATTCAATGAGACATGTCCCTCGAACTTCCACATGTGGGTGGGATTGTCAGACGAGCAGGAGGAAGACAGATGGCGCAGGTTTTCTGACAACAAGACTGTGTATGAGACGTCATTTGTTCCAGGTTTCCCAAATGGTGGCACGAGTGAAAACTGCATCTACATGTCACGCATCAGTGGTCTTTGGGAGGACATTGCCTGCAACCGGGAGTGGTTTGCATGTGCGGCATGCACAGAGGATTTCGGGCGACCGCTGGTGTTGCGTGGCCTCTGTGAGAAGAAAAAGGCAGAGACCATGTTCGAGACCCTTGGTTACCGCGAGAGGAAGCCCTTTTTCCATGGCTATTATGGGAAGATGATCTTCAAGACACCAGGACACTGGGAGCTACGTGACACCACCGCCAATGCAACTCTAGCAACACTTGCATTGGATACCACAGATGACTACCCCCTAGGCCGCCATATTTGGTATCTCAGGGATACTGTATGTGACCATCCTATGAGCACGGAGCTTGAGTTGAGCCTCTCTGCATGTTTTGACAATGAGTACACCTGCGCCAACGGAGAGTGCATTGCCAAAGAACTCCGCTGCGACACTCGTGACGACTGCTCGGACCTGTCTGATGAGAGGGATTGCACACTCATGGAGATCCCCAGTGGTTACAGGGACCAGCGGCCACCCAACGGGGAGCTGGAGGGAGGAGCCCTCGAGGTGGTTGCTGTAATCAAAATCCTGCGCTTTGTGGAAATCAGTGATGTGCGGCGGATGGTGCGCATGGAGGTGGAGGTGGAGATCAAGTGGAAGGACACCCGGCTGCGCTACCTGAACCTCAAGGACACACTCGAGTGGAACAAACTCACAGACAAAGAGAAAAGTGCCATCTGGAGGCCGCAGTTCGAGTTCCCGAATGTGTACGATGGCAAGGTGGATCGCTTCAAGGAGCAGCTCTACCTTGAGAAGATCGGAAACCCTCTCGAGACCGACTTCAATGACGCCAAGATGGGTTAGTTCTCTCTAGTCTCATTTCTCTCACCTTTTTCTTATTTTAATTTCCGATTTTCCATTCCTGTTTTTCCCTTGATTTACTTTAAGCCTGTATTACCCACTCATATTTTTTTTTTGTTTTGTTTTTTTCTGTACCCTGTACTGTTTACAATTATTTCTGAACTTTGTGCATCTCATATTTAGGCATCACACTGTGATGTCTAGCTAGGAGCCTGTATAGTTTTCAACTAATATTAGATTTTGTGCACCTCATATTTAAGGATATGAGCATGATCACTGAGTTCTTGTGGGAGCTTGTTGGCGCTCCAGTTGGTGGACTGTAAAAAAAAGAACGGGCATAAAGTATACTGGGAATATGATATCTCTCTACTGGCGAAGTTATGGGTATGTCATCTCTGATTGGACATTCTATACAGGTGGAATATGGTTGGTTGTCCTGCTACTACAAGGGCTTGACCTTGAGCCCCTGTGTCTAAGACCTTTCGTGAATAATGCGCCAGGGGCGGGGTTCACGAAAGGTAATAGACTCCAAAATTTGTCTTTGATAGAAAAAAAGTCTTTGACTCCAAGATTTTGTCTACAAATTCCCGCTAAATTATTCTTTACATCGTGTGGAGGGAGACTTCAGGCTCAGGGGCCAAGGAAAGCGAGGGGCCCCGTTCGTTCCTCGAAAAGGGGGCGAGGGGACCAGGCCGAAGGCTCAGAACCCACACGACTTCACAAGCCAACTATCCCCGGAGATGCAGGCCTACCAGGAGCGTGACCAATACGAAGATGATACATACTGATAAAATACAAAACCTTAAAATGAACAAAAAAGGAAAGAACATAATGTGCAGAACAGCAAAGATCCCAGAATGGCTTTAAAAATAGTAAAAAGAACTAACTTCTAAACTAAAACACGTGAAAAGTGAAATGAGGAGAAAGTAAAAGATTGTAGAATATACAGAACAGTCATAAAAAGCAAAAGACGAGTAACTATAGCTTGTAAAAAAAGAAAAGAGTAAAAGGACAAGATAAAAGTAAGTAAAATTCAGAATAAGTAAAAAGTAAGAGTCAAAACACACAGGGTAAATACGTAATGTAAGAGAACAAAAGCACGTCCAGCATAGATGCACCTGGACGAGTATAAGAGGCAGTACAACCTCGTTTCAGCATCAACGGTGTAAATCCAGAAAGCACCTCCAAAGGGTAGAGTCAAAGCACAGTCATAGTATCCACTTCACTTATAAAAAAATGATAAAACAGTAGATGGTACATTTTATGATAAAAGAAAATATACACAAGATAAAACCACAAATAAAACGTTAAAGGAAATCATTGAGAAAATTATATTTATAATAAAACAAATACGTAAAACAATCTGCTACTAAAATCTAAAAGAGAGATTAAAATGATGAACATATTAAAAGAACCCATTAAAGAATAAAACTTAACTTGAGATGCAAAGGATAAAAAAATAAAATGCAAGTAAAAACAGGCCAGCATAAAGTCCGCCTGTGCCCGACGCGGAGAGATGCTGGGGAGGAGAGGGATAGGATGGGGCAAAGGCAGAAGGTAAGGAAAACGGGGGAAAGGAGTGAAAAGGGGGAAATTAACGTAGAAGTAGAGGGAAGTCAGAAAGCGAAGGAACAAGAAGTGGTTGCGAATAAAAGGGGTACGAGGGGATATGCGGCAGGATACTGGGCAGGATAGGCATAGAGATAAAAGGCAGAACAAGAAGGGAAAACTATTAGAAGAGGGAGAAACTAGCGTGAAATTAGAGAGGAGGGGGAAGCGAGGGGACAGGAAGAGGGTGTGAATAAGAGGGGCACGACGGGGAAATGTTACAGGATACAAGGCGGGATAAGGTTAGGGTGGAGGCAGGATAGGATAGGGATAGAAGTAGAGCAAGCAGGAAAAACAAGTGGAGGGGGAGAAATAAGGGGAGAAGGAGAGGATAACTCCGATATGCGAAGCTGAGCCTCGCCCGGGCTATGGGGAAGCCCGGCCTGTGACGACTAATGTCGACTCGCAAACAGTGTGTCAGCAGGTGCTGACTCGGATGAGCTTAGTCCTTACCCACCGTGGTGCCCAGCCACAGCAGTAACCTCCAGGCGACAATTGCAACTTCTCGCGCCTGGACGGGGCGCGAACCGCCGACGCCTCGGATGAGAGGCCGACACGTTACCACTGTACTAGCCCGGAGGCTAGAAGGAGAGGCGAGTGAAAAGAGGAAAGAATGAGACGAGAGGCAATTGAGGGTACGAAAGGGATCGGGGAAAGGAGGGTGATGGGTATGGTTCCCTCACACATTGTTCAATCTCATGACTGTGGTGAGAAAGCTAGGCTTTACTGCCACGA